TAAGAGCTCTCGCATCCGAGGCACGATGACGCAATTATTAGCCAACAATTGGGATTTCTAGCAACTAGTGATTCACTCTGTAGCTTTTCTCCTCTTTTTTAAGTTTATGTAGTTTTCATTGTATAAAAGTCAACAGTTGTTGGTTCCACTGAACTGATGCTTTAGGATTCAAAGGACCCTTTCTTGGAATCGTATAAGACGTGATGGCAGATGGATTCCCATTTTGAGTAATATTATTTCTTTGAATAAGATTTATTTTCTGTCGTTTGGATGACAAAAAATTTTGACCTTGAAAATACTTGCCACTGGAAATTTTCGCCATGGATTATCTATTCATGATTCCGGGAAAAAGATCTTTGATTCCAATTCAAGTGAGAGTGAACAACTCTCTACATAGCAAAGTTGTAATTTATCGATGGGGTTTAACATGCAAATAAAATTCAAAAGCAAGGAATGTGCATGAGTGATAAAGTGATGGGTGGTTCTATAAAAGATTGCGAAATTTAAATATTTCACTTTTATTTCGGCATTTTAACAAAGTGAACTAGTAATTTCTGGAAAAAAAGAAAATTGTGTCCAATTAATATTGTGTCCAATCTAGCTCATGCACCTCTCCAACGAACTGATTTTATAGGGCTTCAAAGTCGGATTGTATGTCGGCTAAAAGGATCAATCAGCTTAAATCAGAGAGTACAAAGACCAATTTGGTCAAAATTTAATTTCAAACACCAAATTGAACATTGACTAAAAATTGAGGGATCAACTTTGATATCCTCCTTCCTATGTAAACCTGGAGCCCATTGGCCGAATGAACTTCATGAACATTTTCATCATGAGAAATAATTGCATGCGTGCAGATGTATGGACAAGGTGGACTTGCTCTGCACAGTCTGGAGCCAAATCTTTCCCTCAAGAATTTTTACTCGAACCATTTCTTTTAATCATTTTTTAATAAACTGGAAATTAGACTATTTCAGCGATTGTGTGGAATAATTTAGAAGCTCAACACATGCATATCCAACTTCCTTTCGCGCCCATAACTCTAGCAAGAGATTGAAGTCCGGTGAAAGCAATAAAACATTTTAATTTTATAAGTTAGAATTGTGATGACAGAAAAATGTAATATTTTGTTCTTTATCAAATCAAGAGTATCTGGGCCTATTGTAGACTTTACAAGACAACTATCTAAAGTAGCAAAATATCAATTGCAATCGATTAGAACCAATCTAGGGAAATATACGTAATCTCCTACAACCTCGTTAATATATCCCAACACTGTAATTTGCCCATTTTGTTCGTTTCATTTTCCCTCTCATCTTCGTGTTCTTCAATGGGAGAATCTGTCATTTCGCTCGCTGTCGAGAGAGCTTGCGACTTGCTCGTGGAAGATGCAAAGTTCTCGCAAGCGTCGGGAGGGGACGAGTGAAGGTGAAGGGCATGCGAGAGGAGACGCTGATGGGAGGCATGAGGAACCAAGACTCCTTGCTTGTTGCGTTGAAGACGTCGTCGTGAAAGCTGCATCGGAGAGGACAGAAGATCCGAGCATTCCATAGCGCCGGTCAGATGTTTGACGAAATGCGCGGGTGAGCAGTAACTGGAGCACGTAAAACTGAAATCGACATGTTGCTTTAGGCTTGTGCGGTTGATTTCTTTGTATATCGCCATCAGCCGATAGAGTATGTGATTTATCTTGATAGGCCACGTAACTACTTAACAGCCAAACTTTAATTGGTGTGAGTGAGAGCAAAGACTGAAAAATACATTCAGAAGAATATCGAAAGAAGCAACACACAGTTTTTAAGCGTCCTCGACTTGTTTCCATGTTTTCAACGCATTCCTTAATTCTTTCATTTCTATATTATCAAGTACATCTTTCTCAATAAAAAGCAACCAAAGTAATTATTCATCATCAAATGATCCTCCACTCAATTGAGTGCGCAGACGATTCTTCATAATCTTCGTTATACAGAATGATCTTTGTTTGGCAACTTAGTTACCAGTACTGCTCAAAGGTCCAAGAGTTGGGGAATGGCGATGGAGAATGATCTTTCTAACTTGTCGTCACCACAAGCCAAATCAAATTTATAAGCAAGTAGATCAAAGGATAAGACAGCATCTTTCTCCTTTTTTCTTTTAGGAGCTAGCTTCTTCTGAACTAGCTCTTGCACTAAGATCACGTTGCTTTCTTTTTTCTTTTCTTTTTTTGGTTTTTCTTTTCTTATATCACAGATTAATAGATGGGAGCTACTGAACCGCTACGGTATTTCTGCCTTCTGGCGGCCTTTGTCCTTCTTCATTGTTTTTTTTTAATTATTTTTTTGGCCTTTTGATACTTATTGTAAAACTATAAAATGATTTTTGTGTCGGGCTTTATTCCACTTCGGGCATTTCAAGTTTTTAATAGGCTAGCCTCATAGTAACAAATTTTCGGTGGGGGTAAAAGCCCACAAAGTAATGGAGTCAAACTTTGCGCGGGACAACTACGGTAAGAGTCTTAAAATTTGTGTCGATCCAATATTTGAGTATTAAAATTTTCATTTCGTGCGTTTAAGTCCTAAAATTTATATTGATCCTCCATGTTAGTCCCAAGCTCTGTTAGCTTCTAGTCGAAGGAAAAAGTGCGAGGTGACATTTTTCATTAATATCTTCGTCCACGTGGCAATTAAAATTTGTTATTGTCCTCCATGCTGAAATTGTTAGTTGAGTATTGAGTTTGATGCTGATGTTGTTAGTTGCGCGTTGAATTTAGGCATTTAATGCTGAAATTGTTAGTTGAGCATTGAATTTCAATAATTTCTCACCAACATATTATTTATTGGAATGTCGATTAGTAGTGACCAACACGCACTCTCTCTTCATCACTGGCTCATTATTCGCGGTTTGATGGCGATGAAGTCTCTCCTATAGTCTTCTGTATAGGAGCGTGCATAGCTACAGTTCTTCCCTTCGCAGCAGGGGCTTTGAAATTCGCTCTCCAGTGGAGCCACGTGTCGGCAACAAGTTCCGGCTCGGTGGTAAGATCGGCAACGGATCATTTGGAGAGAGATCTACCTCGGTGGACTGCTCGCTAATTGATATTTGGTTTTTGCTCCATCCGTTCTGCTTTTAGTTTGATTCTGATTGAACTTTGTTGCAAATTACTTTCAGGTACTAATACTATTCAGACGAACGAGGAAGTCGCGGTTAAGCTAGTGAGTGGCTCTTCTCCCAGTTGATTTGACCCTTTTCTTTATATAGTTTTTGTACGTTTTAGTAATTTTTTTTTTAGTATTGTTGTGGTCAACGCATCGGTATTTTGTTGATTTAGAATTTTGAGTATCGACTTTTTTGCCTGAAAGATTACTTATAAGAGAAAGATAAAAAGATCAATTTTTCGCTTGAGACGTATATGTTTTGACCGAGTGAGATTGATGAGGGGTGTTTGCTTGGGAAGCAACCGAGGCAAATATAGAATTCTCTTTTGATGGCATGAAGAAGCTCTCTTTACCGATTAAGCGGTGACTAGTGAGAAAGGCACGTACCGTACCAGTGGAGGCGTGGAGGGAGAGATCGAAAGCCGTCGCAATAGACCTAGCGGTCCTACTTCAGGTGCTTCGTGAAGGTGATGTTCCATTTCTTCACAGGTTCCATTGTCATGCATTTGGGATTTGAATTTCTAGGGATTTCAAGAGCAGCGAGAGTGCGTTTGACAGCTTCACTAGTTATGTCGGGCAGCCGAAGTATGAATATGTGAGATGTGGGGCTAGACATACAATCCTCTTGGACTGGGCTAAAAGTTTTTGGGCGATTATTAGGTTCGTAACAAAATTTCCACACACTTTGAAGATAATAATGTAATCTAATTCTTCCACATGTCAATCATGCAATGGTAAATATGCAAAATCAATTCTCACTCTGATAATGGATCTAATATAATTCCAAACTTTTTTTTTGTTTGTTCTAGTACGGTTTTTTTAACTTATGAAAAGCACATGTCCTTTATAAATAGGATAACATAAACGCGTATAAAACACACATTCAGATAAAGGAATTTGATTTTCTTCTTAATTTGTATCTAATTTTTTTTCATTTACTTACACATGTGCAAGAACATCACGTTTGTACAAAACTGACGTAATAGATAGCTAAATAATTTCGATTTCTTTTCAATCATAGGATGTCATATTGAATGTAGCAAATTGTAATCGAAATTTTTACATGATTTTTTTTTTGGTCGAAAATTTTTTACATGGTTGTTAGATGGGTGTGATTTAATATGTGAATTTTTGCTCAAGTAAAACATACTTCAGGCAAATTTATGATGACAAACTTTTGTTCCAATTTTTTCCCCATACTTTGACAAATTTTGCTTTACTTACAACATATTTAACCGGGTAACCTGCTTACAAACAAATCCATAATCAACATAGGTTCCCAAATGGACCCCACCATGAAGCCTCTCCTAAGGGGGCTAAGGGCGAAAGCTTAAAAAACCGCATGCCACCCGCCTAATTCTCAATAAATGCAGGAGTAAGCCACACCCGCAGTATGCTTCCTCTCCCTCTATAATATTCCATAACTTACGCTCTCTACTCCCATGCTCATCTTAGCATCGGAGGATTATTAATGGGCTAGAACCTGGGAACTTCTTCTCTTTGTGGTGAGCAGGTTCAAGGCACAATTTACAGAAAAGTAAAATAAAATCGAAGCTTATGCTTGTTGCAACTTCATGAGAAAAAAAAGGATAAACATAATTACCAGCTTACTACACTTTGAAGAAAAGTTGGCAAGCTTCGAGACCAAAAAAGCCTCAAGTCATTCGTGGGGTGATTTTCTTGCGTTCGTGGATGTAGAATATGTATTATCAATGCAATATGCAACTTTCTAAGTACTTATTTCTTGTCTCTCTTCTTTGCAACTCGCAGGCCTATATGTTCAGAGCTATTCACGCATGAAAAGTGAATTATCTAGTCATTCTTTATCATAAGCTCCACTGATCATTGTCAAATAGTGCAACACCAATGGCCGAGGCTGTTGTTTCGTTCGTGGTGGAGACAATAGGAAAGCTGCTCATCGACGAGGCCAAATTCTTGAGGGATGTGGAGGGCAAGGTCGAGGACCTGCAAAAGGAGCTGAAGCTGATCCGGTGCTTGCTGAGAGATGCGGATGCGAGACGAGAGCACGACCAAGTTATTGGAGAATGGACTACCCAACTCCGAGACATTGCCTATGATGCCGAGGACGTCATCGAGGGATACACCCTCAGAGTTGCACTGAAGAATGGACAAAACATCACCAAAGCATATGCTTGCCTCGTGGCGAAGTGCACGTGTGTGCCGGTTCATGTGGTGGGGACTAAGATTGAGGCCTTGAAATCCAGCATCTCCAATCTGAGAACGAGTATGCAGGGTTATGGCATCCAATCTGTGAATGAGGGCGAACACGAACGGGCAAGAGCTTCGACGCCAAAACGTACTTATGCACATTTCGAGGAAAATATTGTTGGGAGGGAAGATTGTATTAAGGTGTTGGTGAAAGAGCTGGAGGATGGAAAACAGCACAGGGTTGTTTCTATATGGGGAATGGGTGGTTTGGGTAAGACCACACTTGCTAAGAAAGTCTTCACTCATGACAAAGTGAAGAACCATTTCAATGGTTTCGCTTGGGCTTGCATATCTCAAGAATACCGTGCGAGAGATATTTTGGAGGGAATTCTTGTTAAGTTGATCCCCGATCAAAGAAAGAGGGTTACAGAGATGAGAGATGATGAATTGTTCGAAACTCTTTATAAGATCCAACAAGAGAAGAGATGTATCGTGGTTCTTGACGATATTTGGACTAAACAATCATGGGATGGTCTTCGAGCCGCATTCCCATTCGAGGACACGAGAAGCAAACTATTGGTAACGACTCGAAATAGAGTAATAGCTGAGTATATCGATCCTCAAGGTTTTTTCCATGAACCTAAGTGCTTATCGGACCAGGAGAGTTGGGAGCTACTGACTAAGAGAGCATTTCCTGAAACGAAAGGTAAGGCTTCTTTAAGGTTATTATCCTAACATATAATAGCTTCAGGAGATTAATTGGTTCATGAGATTTTTATAGTGGGAGACGAAGGGACAAATACAAGGTACTTCATTGCTCAGTTTGCCTTTTGAAAGGTTTAAAAAAAATTTATGAATCGATGGTTACTATGGAGTTCGAATAATCGATATATGTAGTATTCGGAATCAAAATATTCATATTTGGGGAATGAGATGCCCCTTTTATTACTTAATGGCTGGCGATTGTACCTCCAAACACCCAAAATTTTGTTCCTTCTTTCATCCAATGAGGAGAAATATCAAAGAGGCTTTTATATGGCCAACGTGATAAACGATTTTGATAGGAATTCATGAAATAATGGGGAGTCTAGCTATGTTCCTTCTTCCACAGGCCTCATCTCAGGTCCACCCATTTTTGTATTTGTGAATAGCTGGTCCAAAAATTAGAGTGGGGATTGTTAAGAAAATCGCGAATCGTTATGCGACAAAAGAGAGTGGTAACATAAAGATTTCGCTATAATTTCCGGTGCAGTAGAGATTACGAGCGCACTCAACTTAGAGAAGATTAGTAAGACCCTCAAGTTATCCCTGCGATTTTCCTTTTTCCTCATCTAGTAGGATTATTGTTTCTATACATTTGCTCGAACCACTTTATTCTAGCCGTAGATAGCAAAAATGATACGTTCCGTTTGTCAATTTAGGGTTCTTGATCTTCCAGGTGTTGGTGGAGGCATATATAGGATCCTTGCTATGGTCCCTATAGTCTTTCCCCTTACGAAAGCATAATTGAACCATAGATTATAAACAACTATAGCATCTTATTCATATATCAAAAAGCATATATTCGTCCTTGAAGTTACCTTCTTATTACAATTGCAATTTGCTGCCTGGTATTGTGCAGAAATCACTCAAAACATGAAGAGGTTAGGAGATGAACTCCTTAAAAAGTGTGGAGGATTACCCTTGGCTGTCATCGTGCTTGGTGGACTTTTGGCGGTCAACGAGTGGGAGACGGTTTACAGAAACATCAATTTACATTTTAGCGATAAGAGTGATGTATCAAAAGTGTTGGCCTTAAGCTATGACGATCTACCATGGCATCTAAAGCCATGCTTCCTCTATTTGGGTAGCTTTCCGGAGGATGCAGAAATCCCTGCGACGAAAGTTCTTCGCATGTGGATTGCTGAAGGCTTTGTGTCGCCCAATGCATATGACGAATAGAGAGAAATTACAGTGGAAGATGTAGCAGAGCAATATTTAATGGAGTTGGCTAACAGGGGAATGGTTCAAGCACGATTCAAATTGAGTGGAAAGATCAAAACCTGTCACCTCCATGACTTGATGCGAGACTTATGCATCTCCAAGGCTACGCAAGAGAGTTTTCTTAGCATTCGTAACATTCAGCTGGACAATGAGATGGAGGATTGTTCTTCTTCGATGGCAACTTGCAAAACACGAAGACTTTCTCTTAATGTGCGTGGGAGTGCTAAAGGAAACACCTTTCCGAGAGTCGAACAAATAGGAAGGACCATGCTCCACCTTCGAACTCTTATGCTCTTCTATTATGGAGCATCTATTGGAGGAATGTGGGAGCAATTTCGACCTATTTCCATCAACAATAAGTTTCTCAGAGTTCTAAAGCTAGAGCGCCTAATCTATGCGAGTGGAAGTTTACCTAAATCAGTGGGAGACCTGGTTCATTTAAGATATCTAAGTTTAGCAGGAAGTGAGTTCGAGGGCTTGCCGCAATCTATGGGGAACCTTTTATGCATGGAATTCTTGGACCTGTGTGTGATACCAAGAGTAACCTTGCCAAATGTGTTGTGGAAGATGAGAAGGTTGAGGCATCTCTGTCTTCCCTACCGGTTTACTGTCAAGAAGAAATTTTGTGGGGACCGGAAGAAGTTACGATTGGACACTTTAAAGAATCTACATACATTGAGAAACTTTCATCTGAACAATTGTGACGTGAACGATGTAGCTAAATTGACCAATCTGCGAAAATTGACTTTAGCCGTCATCGACGTTGCAGATGACAAGTTGGAGATAATTCCAGAGCTTGCTAAATTCAATTTGATACATCTTCAATCCTCATCTTTTTATTTCACATGCAATATGATTGATAGTTCATTCAGGGAAGGTGAATTGAGTAAAATGTCAAGTTATCCATATTCCTGCACACTGTCCATAATGGGAAAAATAGAGAAGTTACCGGAACATAAGAATCTACCCCAACAACTGAGGAAGCTGGTCTTATTCGACTCTGAACTGGAAGATGATCCGATGCCAATATTGGAGAAATTGCAGCACTTGGTTGTTCTCATATTGGTGCGTGCTTTTGAGGGAAAGGAAATGGTTTGCTCTGCAGGAGGCTTTCCACAACTCAAGCATCTAGTTCTTGATGATCTGGAGAATTTGGAGGAGTGGAGGGTGGCTGAAGGAGCCATGCCTCATCTTTCTCGATTAGGGATCCGCTACTGTCGCAAATTGAAGACGGCGGTTCGTGAAGGAGTCCACGTGTATGACGGTGATGAAGCCAGCATGCGCGAGTGGCAGAAGTTCCCCTAATACCGGCCGTGAGAGAGAGATACAGGTATGTGTGGTCAGGGGTCGCCCCAATTGTCCGCTGAGAGAGAGAGAGAGGGAGAGGGAGAGGGGGTGGGGGAGGGGGAGGGCGGGGGAGGCGTCTGGCTTGGCGGGCTGTCAGGGGGTGGGTGGGCCCCCCCAAGATATTTTAATATCGCAAATGCTTTATAAGAGTAAAAACATCTGATTCGAGATATTTTTTTAAGTGAGAATAGGCTATGTATTATGGCAATCCTTAGATAAATTTCCCCATCGTCTTCTTCTTCCTATCGTAAATCACTGTTCCTTTCATTTTCTCTCTCATCCTCGTGGACTTAGATTAGTGGGGGTAGTAGTAAATCACTCGCGACTATGCTCATGGGAAAGATTGCAAAGTCCTCGCTGAGCGCCGTGAGGAGGTGGACCGAACTCGCTGCAATGCTTCTCCGAAAGACGCTGGATGGGAGGCGGCATATCTGAAGAAATAAGAGCCATCGCTTCTGGTGTTGGAAAGCGTCGTCGTGAAAGCTGCATTGCAGGAGGGAGGAGAGGAGAGAAGAGAAGATCCAATCATTTCCATGGTGCCGGTCAGATGTTTGACGAAATGCGCATGTGAGTAGATACTGGGGGTAACATAAATCTGAAATGAGCGTGTTGCTTTCGGCTTGTGCAATTGATTTCTCTGTATGTATATAGATAAACGATGACGAGAAATACAAAAGTGCATTTTGCATCTCCCAGTCTCCTACATTTTTTGTTATTATCAGTATCCCTGTCCTCCTTTATGTAAGGCTGCAAGATACGCCTAACGATTCTTTTATGTGCGCTTACTTTGACTCTTTCCCTGTGTACAAGAGAGATCAAATTGCTGGATGTAGCGAGAAAGCGTATGATTATACGCACGTCAAATGTTGCTGTTCTTCTGCGACCAAGAACTTGAGGTATATATCAAAGGAGGTGAATATTATGAGAGGACCTTTAGCTTTCTCTACCCGGAATTACTATCTAAATTGACTAATTATGTCAAAAGGATAATATCAGCTCCAGCATCAGTTCCGACCTTCGTAAGGGTCTCCTAAAACCTCTTATAGAGTTAGCTAATTTAGATCCTTTTCAACTATCATGATTGCTTTATCTTAATATGGGATCACCGACAGATGTAACACTGAAATTTGCCCATTCTGTTCGTTTCATTTCTCATTCTTTTGGGCTTCAATGGCGGATGGGAAGGGCTTGCGTACACTCCGATTTACCATGCGTAGGGTCTCACAAAATGCAACTTACTGACTGAAGTTACTCCAGGTAAACTCCATGATGTCCCGGATTTTATCACATTGTGACAAACTAACTAGCAGAGCAAAAGAGATTCTAAATAGCGGAATATATCTTGTTTCGACAATAGTATGGAAAATGGCAGGGAGAACAGCTATCTCTCGTACTATGGAATGATGTATCACAGATGACGAATATAACTCTCATTACTGTCCATTTGTTTTAGAGACTACGAATGTAGGAGATGTTCATAGATCACGGAGACGTTTCTCGGCACTCACTACAATAAGAACTCCGAAACAGTACATGCGATATATCTTACCAGGCACACTTCCCTTCACAAGATTTATCCGTTGGTTTATTAAGACCCAAAATTTGGAGTTGGCTCATGCTTGAGAACTTTCTCTCAGTTTCAGAAACTGAAGATGAGGGAGTCGACAAGAATCTGCGATACTACATGATAAGTGGCGTAAATGGCAAAATGTCCACAGGCTAACATTGTATGACCCATTTTCTGGTTTAACTACCGCTATGCATATTGCACGTAACAAGATTGGTCTATTAGAAGAAGGAAGTCCATGAGTCACAGAACTACTTTTCTTGTTTTTCGGAAGTCTTGAGGACATGATCTTTTATGACTGAATCTCTTCTGAATTGCGATTATATTTTCCCACATGAACATCCAGTACCCATCGGAACCCCATAGATCCACTTCGATGTCTACTCATGTTGAGAGGAATAGGAGAACTGATATCGAGCTATATTCCAGCAAAAACAAATGTCTCTTCACGGCCTTGCTTAGCATGCGGAAATCAAGAGAAGACAGCGAGTTACACAAGTCCTTGGATGAGAACTAACAAGAACAGGGGATGGAGGAAAGCAGATAGACGCATATGTCAGTTTCTTTGCAGCGCAAGTATGACCTCTGCTGCATTTGTAATTGTAGCTTAAGCTTTTGAGAATAATTTTATGCCAATAAGAAACAGAACGAAAAGATTGTCCTGATTGAAATTCTACAGGGTATTTCTTTGGAAGAGCATCTTCCTCAATTAGAATAGAAAGAACATTGTCTACAAATAAACTGTCTATGAAGCAAATCCGCCTTGCCACTTCAATATTTGAACATGAGAACATACACGTAATTATTCCTCCTTTCTCGGCTGAACTTCTTCACCATACGCTTACTTGACTTAATTTTAACTAGTATCTTAGATCAACATGGGTGGCCTCTTTTTATTTGGCTACGTAAACATAGCGTACTCAATATGTCGAAGATCACTGGAAATACACTGACTATGCCATATAAGTAAAATGTGTTTCAGATCAGACAGCTCCAAATGAACTTGGCACTAAAACACTCTACAAAAAAAACAAGAGCTTGACTGTACAAATTATATGCGTGATAGGCACGAGATTCTTGAGTACTCCAACCAAATTCTTGACAGTAGCAATATAGTTGATTGAGCAATGACCATGGTTCAAAATCCAAGATCAAAACTTGGACACTCGGCCTTCACTTTCAATGGATCCCTATCTCCTTCAGGGGTCATCCTTTCATCATTAGCATCACCGGGAGAAAGAGATGCTTCTGAAGCAAGATTGTTGCCACAGCATTTGAGGTCAGCTGGCTCAAGAGAAGGCTGTAAAGGATAATTGCAGCAGATGTATATGCTGGTCATACAAAGCTCAGTGAAATTGAGAATGTCCTCTAGGTAAATAAAGAACTATATGATGGACTGGGATGAATTAGAGAATTCGAGCAGGTCCTGATGCATCTAGTTAGAAAATTTCCTACAAGCAGTAGCACCTGCTGCTAACTTGCTTCAGTTCATACCGTATCTTGCACCAAAGAGTTTCAACAAATATCAAAACTAAGTTCTAATGGAATTTCAAGATGCTTAGAGTCACAACCTTGCCACAAATGGGGTCAAAATAGAGATGAAAGAATTGATTACTGTAGCAAAAATAGGACAAGTAGCTGTGAAATACCTGTGAGTTGCCGATTCCAAAGCCCACTGTAGAGTGAAATTCATTGAAATCAGAGGCTGAGTCTAATGAAAATTTTCAATTATGAGAAAGCTAACATTAAAATGCTGAAGTGACTGAAATCACACTAAAGCCAACCTTCAGACCTCATGAGACCAGGCGACGTTTCATTGACAGTGGTATCAGTTAAATTTCCAGTGTCCACATTCTCCACTGAAGCTAGTTTGACTCCCTCTCACATGAATTTTCCGCCACGGCAACTTGATCTAATGGTTTTCGAAGGACAGATAATATTTGATAGGCTGCATCGATTGGATTACAAGAGATCATTTGCAAGCTGGAGTAACATAACACAGTTTCCTCCAATAAACATGAGAGTTAACTTCGAAGGAAATGAAAAATAAAGTGACGGTGTTGCATCAACATCAATAAGACCAAACCCAAGCTTAATTGCAAGACATTCTTCTTTCTAGAGCAGGTCCATGAAACAATCTATATATTTTGTGGGCTTTTTACAAAGCTTATTGTAAAATATTTGATGCACCTGAATAAGATAACTTTATTAGCATTGTGCTTTAATCTAAATACACATGGGAGAGATAGTAATATCAAACAGCAGAAGAATCCTCAAGATCAATAGAGAAATCACCATCACGTAGAGGCTTGGTCTCAGGAACTTTCCTGATGCAATCTGTGCTTATCATACGAGATATTCCACTGTTTGAATCCAAATCTCTTGCTGGATGAACCTTCCCCAGAGTTTTGTCTCCATGTTTATGCCAGAGTACTGTAATATCCAAAGATAAAGCGTTAGGCATCAAATGATTGAGGTACATAGAATTAATATCAGTGGAAGAAAGAATTAGATGCTCCATATCTAAAGCATCTTGAGGTGACCATATCAGGTGTCTAATCCACCTCAAATAAGTGCCCCTTCCTTGGTTAGGGAGATAGCAACTTTCTCTTAACATGTTCTCTCAACATATTCATTTACAACTCTATCTTAATACCCACAGATCCACCTATATAACCTCTTCAGCACTTCACTAGGACATAGCTAGGACAAACAGGATGCATCAAGGAAGACTACAACCGAATACAATAAAGTTATTAAAACATCTCAACATCATTGGATGAATCAATAATGCTGCAAACCTCCCAGGATTGGTTGATCAACTTTAACACCATTCACCTCCCCATGGCCTTTCCTCATTTCTCCAGCAGCGCGACATGGTTCACGATCATTCAAACCCACCGGCACCTTTTCTTCTACTTCATGTTCCCCAATATCAACTAAGTGAGAATCCAATACTAGTGATCTTCCAGTTCCCAGCACTTCGTCTTTCCTAAGAAATTTGTTCGCCAAGACTTTCCTGCTAGCATCATACAGTGTGACCTGAATGATCCAAGGGCGAAAAAATAATGAGCAGAAAAGTAATTGCAGGACCTATAAAGAATGGGTATGAAGACCTTTTAACTTTTTTGGGTAGTGAAATGCACTTGAGTTAGTGTGCTACTTGGGGCACATAATGAACCATTTTCCGAAAAACAGATGAAGCGATTCATGTTGGATCAGCAAACAAAGTAGCCAGCCCAGTTTAATTAAAGAACAATGGCTTCAGGATGAAAACATGTTTGAAAGTGCTTCGGAATGACCTACCTCCCTAGGGATCCGCAAACTTCAAGCTGCAAAAAACCATCATGGTATTTCTTGGCCTTTTGAGTTACTTGTGTCGTGTACAAAACCTGCCATCCTACATGACAGGAAAGTGTTAATCTCCAAGTAGGACATGCTCAGTTAAACTAACACAAAATAACGGGAGGACACTGCCCACAAAAGAACATTCACATGCTCATGCGTGTTGGAAACGACTGAAGAATAACGATGAACCTGTTATTGATTTCGTTATTTCCATAACCTTAAGCTAAAAGGAGGCAGTAAATACACAGCAATATCAAGAACGTAATAGGCTAGTTAATGAAAACTTCATTGAAAAATCGATTAGGAAGTAGAACAAACAACTGGCTATTTAATGAAAACTTCACTAGAAATGTAAGAACCATTAAGGAATATCCTGAGGAATCCATGTAACTCTGTTCATTGCCCTTCTCTTTTGCACGAGGTTCTCTTACTTATGACTCATTCTTAAGTACTTAAAGCAGGGTGCCAGAGCTAGGACAATCTCAAGAATGTAACCAGAGAAGGTGAATTATGGATTTTCCAAATGAACGGACACACTTAGACCACCTCTGAAGCACAAAGCCGAAAACTCAAAAGATAGTTTCATATAAGGTGAAGCTTTTGTTTCTGTCATATCTAAGGAATTTTAAGAATCCATCTGGTTAAGCAGTATAATGTTTTGCCTATGACAAGTGCAAAAAAGGTCTCCTGACGGGAAACTTTGATTTCATCAAGCCAAAAAATGTGAGATCATGATCACGTAAGAATATGCAACAAATGTAGAGATAAGGCAACTAGTAAACACTAGTGGCAAACTGAATATGCATATAAACAAAATCTGAACTGTTACGCTTGAGTTTCCAGCATCTAATATTCTCCCCTTTGCCCCATTCTGATGCATCTGACCATTTTTTCCTTCTGAAAGAGTACTAATGAATACATGTTTCAGTGCATCACAAACAGAATCTGTCACGCCCCGTACTCTACCAGAACGCAACATCCCGTCGACGGTCGATTATGGTGCAACGCTCCCAGGAAGCATTGCCGACCCAACGCCCAATCAGAGATCAAACACATACGGAAGTCACGTATATAAATAAATATATACACCCATACAATAAATCGCATGAGACTAAGAATAGCCAAGCAAAAACAACGATCAACACAGAAAATATGTACATACTTATATCACTATTTTAAAACTCTTTTACAGTGCTCCCAACAACTCAAATAAAACACCAACTCCTAGGAATAACCAAACAGCCACTTCTCCGATCTCGCTCCGTCTCCACGGGGTGCACGCTCAACGACCGCTGGATGAAATGCAGCATCCCAAAAGTGGTGGTGTCCTCGGCATCCTACGGCCGGGGTCTGAAAATGTTTCTGTTTACACAACCGTGAGACGAATCTCAGCGAGTATGACCCCCTAAACCTAGGTTAGGCTAACATGCAATCTCCTGACCGGAAACAAACATTTAAAATCATAACACAACTATAATCATACAATTCTCTGACCTTGCAGGTTAGACAGTTCAATATGTAATAATCACGGGACATACGTGGCACACATTATCACACGTACGCCAATCACATGCTCATACACCGAGTCTCACACACTCGCATGCTATTCAATGCATGTTTATGCATTCAAATGTCATTGACATGTCATGCACGTTTCTTTGGCCCACTGGCCCACACTGGCACACTTGCCCAATTAATTATTATTACGACTCGAGTCATCAATTTTTCACGGCCCGGTGCGTCTAGCCTCGCTTCAAAGTGCATGAGGCGCAAGAACCGATCCGGCCCGGTGTCTCTAGCCTCGCTTCAAAGTGCATGAGGCGCAACACCGATCTCCTTGCGAACCGCAGCCTCGCTTCAAAGTGCATGAGGACGGTCGCCTTCCGGACGCACCGGGCATCGTCCCGTCTTCAAAGTGCATGAGGACGGTATGACCCGAAGGTCCTTAGGTGATCACACAACTTATTATTATCTCGAACCCGGCAGTATAACGCTTCGGTGGTATTTTAGGTGATCACATGCTCATGGCGAGACACGCATTCTCGCACAATTTCACCACATGCCACACTCTTGGCATACACAATGCGTGTCCATGTTATGCAATGCAATGCACCACGAGCGCCAATGAAATCCAATCACTCAGTATCACAGCACATGCTCAATTGGCCCAATTAATACCGTGTGGCCCAACGTGCGATTCACAATTCAAACACATATTTCAAACCAATCATTGGCCAATCGCACTCCACAAAATCAGCCACACAATGTCACGAGAGATGAATACAAGCCAAGGCACTCAAGGTCGATCTCCCACACTAATATACCAAACATACTCATGCTCGATTT